AAATATCATATTTGGACCCAAATATATTTAGAAAAACTGCTAAACAGAAACTAGAACATAAGAGATTTACAAGTACCTTAGGCAACCATATTCCTATGTTGTCTCTGCAGATTTATATCATATCCCGAAAACAAATAATAAAGAAAACAGAAAAATCAACCTACTTCAGATGCAGGCTTCACATTCAAAAGCGGATAGGTCGGAAAAAGTCCGAAGAGTCGTAATTGGAGAAATTCCGAAGGTATTAGACCACTGAGCAGATATTCACCGAAGAACAAACCTATTAATTTGAAAACACATTATATTGAACTTTGCTAATAATGTATATTAGAGTCTCACGTTGCCTGGTGAAATTTACATGATCCACTTAATAAGGTGAGGGCAATCCTTCCATAACAAGCCGGTTTTGTTAGGTTGAATTAAACTCAATATCATTTCTACTATGGTATCAGAGCAAGCTTAGCCCCTGTTTGACACCCATTTGGCTTCTCAGCATTAACCTCTTTAAAGTTTAACCGAAGGTATTAGACAGATATTCACTGAAAAACAAACCTATTAATTTGAAAACACATTATATTGAACTTTGCTAATAATGTATATTAGAGTCTCACGTTGCCTGGTGAAAGTTACATGATCCACTTAATAAGGTGAGAGCAATCCTCGCATAATAAGCCGGTTTTGTTAGGTTGAGTTAAGCCCAATATCATTTCTAATATGGTATCAGAGCAAACTTAATTTTGCAATGTTGGGTGCACCTAATATCGATTTGTTCACAATTGTTTGGTATGGTCCACGCTGTGTGTGAGGTGCGTATTAGAGGCCTACATTGGCTGATGATACTTACACGATCCACTTAATATGGTGAGGGCGGTCTGATGCAAGAGGGTCTGAGTCAGATGCTGAGTTGTCGATAATACGTTAATGGCTCTAAGGTATCATAGTTGGCAGATCGGGGCAAGGATGACAAGTGATTGCGTAACTTTGGCAATTAAGTCGTGTTTCGGTAATTTGGCCATAACTTTGGCTACGGTTATCAGAATCGCGATCATGACTACAATCCGGAAAGCTCGTTTCGGCGCGCACGTCGTGACCACCCAGCTATGCTCGGTGTGTGCTTTTTTCATCCTCAAATTTAGCTGTTTTCCCTTCCGAATTGTTATTTTAAGTTAATTTTTACTATTTTTGGTAATATTTCGATTACACGTTAGGAGATAATTTTTAACCCGATTTGGGCTAGATTTTTTGCAGAATACTTATTTTATTCCATATTTTCGTTTGGCGTGATTTTTGGAATTTTGCCATTTTTGGTAAAATTCGGATTTCGGCTATAAAGTCCGGCTTGTGGACTTATTTTCATCATTGCGTGTTATAATAAAATTCTATAAATTTCAGAGACGTTTTCTCTGTGTTTTTTTTTTTGCATTAATCTTGTGTTCTTCCCTGTGAATTTGCTGGTAGAACTAGCCTGCAAAATAATCACTATTCTGCCCCGTGTCACAGTCCCCCCCTAACAAGCCGATTTTGTTAGATTGAGTTAGGTCAAATATCTTTTCTAATAATGTAACCAAACAAACATAAATTGTGTGACTCTAACACCCAAAAGAGCATGAATGGTTGATGTAAACCAAATAAAGATCTAATATAAGCAAAAACACAGTGGCAAACCCATAGAAGTTATCAGCATTATGTAGTCGAATCACATCACACGTACAATATTGGTGGACAACATCCTATTTGTCATCATTATATCCATTCATTTTTAAAAACGGTTTTCTACATCACATACTAGGATTTTGATAACACATGATTGTTAACCAATGTTGTACACTCAGATTTATTCTTTGCATAAATGTCTGTCTTCAGTAATATTTTGTTGGTGGAGGCATAAGTGAGTAGTGAGAATATAGTATGCTAGCAATATTTTACTCAACTAGGTTACATTTTTATTATAGTAAATAATTCCCATATCTTCATTAACCAATAAAAATCCCAATTGTGAAGTGCCAAATTGGCATAGAGATATGCTTTAACTTCATCATTATTTAAGTATCTAGAATATTTTCAGATTATATGTTCCATGAGGTTGTGCACCCATTGAATCCTCGAGTGATATATCCAAGTTATTTACGTTTGATATCCTGAGTTCAACTTCTATCATGTTATTTTGTGTATAAATTTATGTTTAGGTCTGGTCACAATGTTCTCTTCAATTCATCTCATATGTAGTAATTGAGACATCAACTGGAAATCTTAGTGGACTCTCCTCACTAAACTCATGCTTGATGGCCATTATTTGGTTAAAACAATGTTTGGAATAGTGATTTTTAGAAAAATGTGTAATTAAAAAGTATGGAAAAACTTTGAATTTACGTGCAGAATATTTTAATGTGTGAATGTGTGATTGAAAACGAGTATGTAAAAAAAAAAAAAAGAATTTTTGACTAATGGTTGTGAAATAGAGGCTAATTTTAGTAATTCTCAAAGAGTTGTGTGTGCGCTGAGCGCTAATTTAGATAGCATTCATGTGTTAAAAATACAATGTTTGAAGATAAGTTCAAAGTTGATATGTTTAAAAAATTATTCAAGAAACTTCGTCCCAAGATCTACCAAATTATTTAGATTGCATTTCAATCAAACAGTTAGAAGAGAAGATCGATTTTGGAAAAAATGAGAAATAAGAAGGGACTACGAAAACACACATAACTCTTACTCGGGTGTCGAATTTACTCGAGCAAGTATAATTCAGAAGCATTTTTCAGTTCTCTACAGTTTTATCAAGATGAAGTTGTCAAACTTTAGGGATCAAATTCCAACGTTTAGGGGTTTCGCTTTAGTGTGTGTTTTTCAGTTAGTTTAAAGATATTTTTATCGTTTTTACAATTTTCAGTTCTATTCGAAGTTGTCTATCAAATTAGAGTTTCATTTTGACTCTTCAAATATGTGTTAAGGGTTTGAAAACCCTACAATTGTTTTTGATCAATAATTTTTTTTATTATCCGGTGGATTTCAGTATTTTTCTCATATCCGTTCGAAAAAAATTCGAGCAATCCACGTTTACGTGTTACGAACAATAATGGGCACATCAAACAACACCAAATTCATGAATAGCAACAACTACTCATAACGGAATAAGGTAATCAATCAATTATTTCAACTGTACTAACCAAATTCCACTACAAAAAATTAATTATCATTGGTTCTTATTAATTTTGCTAACAAGTGTTGGAATCTTCCATCTTTTCATAATTATTTGATTTGAAGTTCTATTTGATTGGTCGATTAAACTAAATGATTTCTCAAATCTTTTACAATATCTTATGCCCAAAGAACGTAATTAATCAAAATATTTATATAAATACGTGTTTTACTTGCTTTTAAGGCAATCATGAACTTAAAGTAACAATACTCTAACTCAACTTGAACTATGACATCAATCACCTTTTCCAAAAACAATAAATGTTCATAAATCAATAATTTTGATAGCAATTATTCGAATCTTTTTGTGAATACTTCGTCAATTCATTCTTATATTTATGAATATCTTTCACCTTGATAAGTGAATATTCGTGTAACGTGATCTCATCCCCCTCACATAATCGCGGGCTCCACCCCCATGTGAAGGGGATATGAAACTTAAAGTGCGGACTCCACCCCCATGTGAGGGGGATGTGAAACTTAAAGTGCAGGCTCCACTCCCATGTGAGGGGGATATGAAACTTAATGTGAATCAAGTGTGTACATTTAATTACTCAAAAACATTTTTCTTGTACTTCGTACTCAAGAATTCCACAACTCAAGCCACGGATGGAAGTCCTTTCAAGAAAATGATAGATTTGTCAATTGCTAATGATTTGTGCTTAATTAAGTTTAAGTTTGGCTCATGTTTATAACTAATTACGTCAACTTTTTAACCATATATTTTGAGGAATCCAACAAATGTCAACTTATCTACCAATCGTTTAAGTCATCTCTATCTATTTGTAATATAAAATCGTTTATAAACACTTCACAAACAAGCTCTAAAAATATGAATCATGCATGCACACTCCCTTCACGCAAGGGATAGCGTGCATAAACGTAACACATTTAGCTATAGAATAATTTTATTTATTTTCATTAGAGATGATATGTGGCAAGTGAAATACTACGAAATAATAAGACCAATTAAACTTATGAACATGAGACCCTCTTTATTGATCTTATTATTTAGTTTCACCTCATATATGGTGATCATCTGTAATGGAGATAAATATCATTACTTTGACTTTACTTTCGTAGAAAAATGGCTCATCATATTTTAAAATATTTTTGATATACCGGAATAAGATAATTTTCATTTAAGCGAAGTCAAACATACTCCAAGAAAAATAATAGAGACGTTGATGGGTCGACTGAGCTCAAAACTTTATTTGAACATATATTCGATGAGAAATGATCTATTAAGCACTGTGCTAAACAAAAATGACTCGACACACAATTAATGAACAATACTATAAAGCTAGAGATGATCCTGGATCTATGTAGCAGTTTGGCCACTGCCACATTATCATATGCCTAAAGATAGTAATAACCCATTGCCACATAGATCGATTGTCATCTTGATTTTAGATGAATCACTTTACTCTCAATTAATTGGTAAATAAGTTGATGAAAAATTCCGATAATTAAATGATTTATCAATTAATTGATGTATCATATCACTTATGCTAAACAACGGTGTTTAGTAAATCATTTCTCTTTATTTGATAAAGATAAAATAAACTTATCCAAGACTAAAGATTGAGGACAATTATGAATTACCTGCTTAAGCTTAGTGTGTGTATATATATATATACATCGATCCAGTTCTTGAAACCGTGAAAGTCGAGAACGGTTCAAGAGAAATATTTACACAACTCCAAAACAATAAAGTTTCAAAGGCCAAGTTTCTACTATAGATGTTAAGGTACAAAACTAGAGAAGTAGATATGTGCCATTTTCTACAGATGACGGATGAGAAATCAAGGAAAGACGAACTGGCCTTGCTGCCCCGGAGATTTCCACGATGATTCTAGTCGCATCAGATGTAGTTTCTCAACAAATGGCTCTAGAACTTCAGCCTCTTCTTCTGGGGCAAAGGCCATGCAGATGCTAAGTTCTTGGACTGCCGCATCGTAGTCCCTGTAATTTGTAGAAGCTGATTAGTGAGTATGAGGGGGGGCAACAGAGAAATGTAAAATGGTCAGAAATTGACGAATTTTTCGTTGTACCTACTATAGTACAACATCATGCCATAGTCTCTCCTGAAAGCCCAATTGTGCGGCTGCAGAATCAGCAATCTCTCGGAAGCCATGATCGCGAGCCTAGAAAGTATTGTAATGCGAGTAAAGTTATATCTTAGACGAAGGTGCAGTAGAAACAAGGTAAATATCAACATAGGAATACCCAAAGAAAACATGGCACAGTTTCCTACCAAGGACGGGCATGCTACTGGATAACAACGATCACCAAAAATTGACTTGACCAGACTTGATCTTAACTAGTTAGCGGCTAATACTACAAATCGATTCAGAATATAAACCACAGGTAAAAATGCTTCTTCACGTGTATACTCGATAGCAATGAACTTTGCAAACATGTACAGAAGATATTACTATTATGCGTACTTTAACAACTCTTCTTACAATTTTGAACCATGTTTATCAGTAAAAAAAAAACCAATCGAGCTATGATATTTTTATCAGTAAAATGTACGGTAATAAGAAAAAACTCACCAAGTGGCCATTACTACGACGTTTTAGAACTTCACTATTCTTTCACCTAGCTTAGGCATCCTATTCATGTAGCAATCAAAATTAAGAATTCCAGAAATGAAACTCATCCAAAAAAGATCTAGTATCATCTAGCAATAATTTATTTGGACAAGTGCGCAAAATATGGACAATATTGTGAGGTGAATTTCACAATTCTCGATATCTCATGCCAATATTAAAATATAAGAATCTCAAATACGTACAAGATAATTATCCACCAGCACAATAAGGAAAAGGAATCAATGGCTGTAATCAAATCATATAGAAGTATAGGATGGCTACCTCAGCTCCTGAGGCCGCAACAAAGGGACATTTGAACCATCGGTCTGGTTAAATTTCTCGTCAGCTTTATGAGCAGACCTAAGCGGTGAAGCCAACATCAGTCCATGATTTATTCTTGAAGCCTGTTTCCAGTGAAGCCTCTGCAGTATATGTCGATTCTTTTATTTTCCATGGTTGGAAGCATTATCAGGGAAAACCCTGAAGCAGTTTCTTAAGAGTACCATAAAAGACGAGTCATGTAACAAATTACTGGCATATGGAGCTTACAATCAAATTGCACAAAGCAACCCCAATGATATCTCTGTTTGTTGCAATATTGAGCCCTAAAAGTGAATTACTATTTATGTCTGAGGCCATAGATAAGGGGTCTTCCACACACTTCCCATTGACAACCCCGAACAAGCTGTGTCCAGAAGTTACTTTGAATAGTTCCTACAGTAGAATTTTACCAATGAAATTTGGAATTATGTGATTAGCTATAATAAAAATGGATGTTGACGTGATGGTGTAAACTAGTGACAATTATTTATGAGTTCCAAAATCGGCATACCTCTGGGTTCCCTGTTAGAGGCCATATCAAAAATTCTCCTCCCACTCGAGATCCAACAATGGTCAGATTAAGTCTTCGACAAACCTCAATATAGATAACACTAAGTAAAATTGCTGTCAATAATGAAAATCATATAGTCAGCTGATATCTTACGTAGATAAAACAAATAAACTAAACGATTGAAAAAGGCATACCGCTGGCACATCCGGTGCTTAATACAGAGTGCAAGTATAAACACTTAGAATCTACCAGTACAGATGACCTTTTGAAACCTCTCGACTCGAAGAGAACTTTGTTCACAGAATCTATAACTTCTACCAGATCACATCCTATATCTCTTGAGACAAGCTCTGCTTCGACTTCCTTTGCAATGGCATCCAACTCAACCAGCCACTCATATATATTCTTTCCAGCCAAAGGCACGGCCTCCATAGAGTCCCACTCTTTGACATTAGACGGAGATGGTGTATCTCTCCTTTCATTATGGAGTGAAAGTGCATCCATCTCCCGATTGAAAGCCAAAAAGGCCTCATCTTCAACAGCGACATAAAGTAAAGCCTAGAAAAGATTGATTCCGGACAAAGTAAGGAGTGATAAATTCACAATTTCCATGTGAAAACAAAGAAATTCAAACCCGAAACTTTAGCAAAAATATGTATTGCATCTTCGTCAAAAAAATTCTGCACACCACTTACATGCTAACAACTCTGTACCAATTAGTGATGGATAATCATGGAGAGAAAAAAAGAGTAAGAAAAGAAAAGCAGACCAATCGTGAAACTGGAAACCAAACAACCATGCTTCGACTAGCACTGCAACAATGACATTTCAGCAAGTGGTGGTAGCTAAAAACAGGCACAGAAGTGCGAATCAATAAATTAGCTTATGCCAGGTACACGAAAGGAGAGTGAGATCAAGAAAAGTAATGATACCCGTATCTCACAGATTCGGTATTAACTACCTCAAACAAAAAGTGCAGAATAAGAAACAAAATTACCTTCGCAAGAGAGATATCTTTGTCCTTGGACTGGAAAGATATCTCCTGGGTAAACTTTTCCCTAGCAGCTTGAAGAACCTGAAAGATTGTCAAGATATAAATGAAAGCTTCAATGAATTTCATAGATTTCCCAAACTATCGATCAATTCTCAAAATCAACCACATACTTAAGTCAAAAGAGTAGTTAGCAAGTAACAGACGATATCAGTAACATATGACTGCAATAAAGGAACATATCGTAGGAATACAATTCTAACCTCCTCATAAAAGCTGGCTCTAGATTTATTCCGGGATTCTGCTAAAGCAGAACAAGCAGGTGAAACGCTCCATCTCCTTTTCTCGAGTGCAGCAATTCGAGTTGTAGCAGTTAAATTGTTCATCTTCGCTTTTCCATAAATACTCCAAAATCCTTTTCGACCATCAAATTCATACCTGATTATCGTAAAGAACAAAGGGATATTGGGGATTGTCTAGGAGTAGTAGTATCACAAATTCTTCTCCAGTCCACATACTATGACTTCACACAAACAAGTTCAATATATTTATAAAATTCAGGTGGCTATGTATATATAAATTTATTTTTTGAAAATATCCATAAACTTTCTTAAAGTCAATTCATTTTTTTTTACAACAATCAGATTGAAATCCCATGTAATTTCTTGAGCTAAAATGATCAAATTACCTGCGACAAGTTCCCAGAGTAGCCATAGCGACAGCCGTAGGCACAGGCATAGCTCCTGACGAAGCATTCATCCCGCCAATCATCATCATCCTCTGCTTATGGTTCAACCCAGGCCATGAAACACCCAGCATTTTCTTGAAAGAGAAGGAAAAATTAAAATCTTCCACGCCTAACAAGAAATACTAAAAGGGTAGGTGAGTAGAGCCGAAAATTTCTTGAAAACCGAGTGTAAAGGCCTAAACTTTTCAAGAAAAAAGAACGAAACGGCGGCTGAATGCTGGTATTTGGCTCAAGAGTCTACATATCAGTACTGGTTCACTGAACCCAAAAATCAGCAAAAAAGAACAAAAGGATGATCAAAAAAATTCAAGAATCAAGCTTCTCTCCTACCAAATATGATGAAGAGAAAGGCTTGGGAATTGAATGGGAGAGTAATTTAATGGCAAAACAGGCCTTGGCAGGCATTGAATGAGAACTTCCAAAACCAAAGGAATACAAAGACAAGGTTGCTGATGAATATGAACACGTGTAACTACAACCACAGTTAGTACAAGAATAATAGTGGAAGCTGACGCTACTTATACTGTTAAAAAATTTAGTATTGGAGCTTCTCAATTGCAACATCAGCAGCAGAATGAAAACCCAACTTGTTTTTTTATTCCTCCTCTCTCCCTCTATAGTCTATTGGGCCTGGGTTGTAGTCTAAAATTGTGGGCCGACCCGTAACCGGCCCGGAACCCTCAGCGGGCGGGCTTTTTTTCACGCGGGCCGTTACCGGACTCACATGTTGGAGGGCCGACCCGGCCCGGACAACCCGGATTGACACCTCTAATAGGTCGACACGACGACACATGCTCTCCAATCTTTCCTTTCTTCTCCGCCAATTAATTATTTGACACGTCATTTTACATTAACACATAACCCAATTTTAAGCATAAGGAGTAGAAAAATTATACATGTTAATTTAAAATGATGTATCAATAATTAATTGCATGAACAATAAATTGAACATAAAAAATTGAATAGCAAATCTCAACTCGTTCGGGTAGGTTTGAGATTGGCATCACATCATGGTACTTTATTGCATGATTTATTTAGATGGGCTAAAGCATACTTTCAGAATTTGTTTGGTAGAGATTTTTTGGGGAAGAATTGATTTTTGAATAGTGATATGATGGGAAATGTGTGGTTGAAAAATAAGAAAAATTATTGATGTGATGGAAAATATTATTTTATTAAAGAATGTATGGTTGAAAATGAGAATTGATTTACTGTAGAATTTGAAAATAAAAAACAAACACTCCCTAAATGAATATCCTTACATGAACTAGGTTAATTAAGAGGATACTTGTTTAAATTATGATTTTTAGTACCATGTTTGCAAACATTGAGGAAAGACTGTACACCTTACCGAATGCTTGGGTTAAACATTTAGAAAGTGTGTATACATGTTATATTATAGTTAAAAATAATCAATAATTTAGACAAGACGGCTAATTAATCATCTATTGACTTCTTGTCTTATAACTACATCGATAAACATAGACATAGCTCTCGTCCTCGAGCGACAGTGAACCTCTACTTCAAAAGTTGTTAACTTTTAATTCCCGAAATAGATTGAATTGTCTAGCCATAATGTTTAGAAGAGTAATCAAAACTCTTATATGCTGATTATTTATTCGATCTTAACACGTAATTGACTATAGATCTCTCTTCCATGAACCAACGGTTAGTACGCTGTAGGCCAGTTTGTCGCCTGAAGAGATTTTCTCTAATGAGATTCAATGACGCAAAAAAACCAATGCGTAAGGTGTTCACGAAGTGAGATAGTGTGCACCAAGAAATCTCAATATAAAGTACAAGATGATGCTTTACTTTCAAAAACATGTCAATCTCTTTTGATGGTTGCATTAATTTATAACAACCCCATCTATCTTAAATGGAAAGAATACTAGCAAACCTTATTTGATAACATATTTTCTTTCCTTAATTTACATCTTCCTTCACCCCTTTGTTTTCTATTTTGCTGGCAAAGTACTTTTGTGCATGGCTGCATTATCTTCCAATTTAACATTAAAAAAACTCAAGTATTAATTTAAGTCAAATACCCAACAAGACATCCCATCTATACAAGAAAACATGTTTCACACACTGTATTTTTGGTGAAGTATAAATTATAATTTAAGTTGATCAAACGTACTTTTTATTTTTACATTTATTAGAAACGACTACGACTCACTTATTACTTACAATTCATTAGGATCCATAACTTATAATTACTTAAAAACACTTTCAAATATGAACTTAGAGTCCATTTAGCAGGACTTGTACCTTTGCTTTTTCTTCTTGTAGAAGAACTTTCTAAGCAAGCTACTTTACGTAAAAAAATCTCTAAAAACTCTTTTATCCAAACAAAATTGTCTTAAAAAAATTTTCAAACATAATTAAAAGTAGTTTCTTAATCTCAAAAACAGTTTTTGACTTTTCAAAATAAACCTTAAGTCTCTGTAAAGAGCGGTAGCTTAACTAATTTAAAAACACACCTAGTTGTTGCAATGTACTCAATTAATAAAAATTCATTGCATATTTGAACTCTATCTTTTCAAAGTTCACTTAAAATACTTCTTGATCATTAAATTCTGGACACAAAGATTAGTAAAATAGTTTTAAAAAGGTTAGGAGATAATAATGTTGATTAATTAATTGCATGACCATAGACTTAAACAATATATAATTAGAAATAAGTGTTGCAATAATAGGGATTGGGGCATTAAATAAATAGTATTAGAAAGACTTGGCAAGAAAAGGAATGATTGTGAAGAGAGACATGGATAAGGTAATTAAATAAATTAGAGAAATGGGACCATAGACAAAATTTCATCCAATTCTTATGAGGCACTAGTTGTTTAGATTGTGACAGGATTATTTCATGATTTGATAAACTCCAATTTCGATATTTTTAGGTCTCCAACTATCGATTTAGGAGCAAGTAAGTCTAAAGGGACTGTATTGTACGGTAACGTCGATAAGAACACGTCGTGCACAGACCACTTGTGATTGTGGTATTTTTGTACAATCTGATAGTCAAAAACTATTTTTAGAAATAAAGTACGGGATTTTTTTTTTTTTTTTTGTAAGAAACAAGAATATGAGAAATGTCTTGCCTTTTCTTTTTGTTCTTTTCATTCTTCTTATCATCTTTAAGATCGATTTTGTGCAAGTGACAAGACAATTTAACATAAAACTAGACTGTGTTTTGTCCAAGTAAACGTGTGTTAACCCAAATTGATAGTTTGGAGATCTAAAAGCCAAGATTTTTTTATCGGAGAGCCTAATGCTACAAGTTACAATGTTTGGGGACCATTGTTGCAAATTTCCTTGAAACCTAACTTTAAGATATGAAATATAAAGGTGTGGTTGAAATTAATTTTAGATTTTGATTGAACAAAATAAGTAAATTATAAATAATTTTTACTTTTACAAGAACGGAGGCAATTTTGATCACTCAAATCGTGGAGTTAACGAATATCACGACTCAGCAAGACCACTATTGGCTTCTTACTTAAATTTTATGACATGCGTTGATTATTTACATTGTTCATTTTCCTAATCTTCGAGTTGTTGATGGTTGAAAATTTTATTTAGCTTGGGAGCACACTAAACAACTTTTTATTAACCACTAGGTTTGAAAATTGACTATCGATGTAGGAATTAATTTAAGTGTACAATATTCTTTGACAACAATGGTTGACAGCCATGTATTGTCAAAATCCTAGTATGTGATGTAGAAAATAGTTTTTTAAAATGGACGGATATAATGATGTCAAATAAGATGTTGTCAACCAATGTTATCGATCGGTATTGTACATGTAGCATGATTCATCGATGTAGGGTGACAAACACCAACTCTACGATGTGAAATGGTCTTAGCGCAAGATTGAATAAGTTCAGCACAATATGAACTTAAGAGTTGAGTAAGGGAAAATAAAATTGAATATGTCTATCTATTTCAAAGTATTTCTTTTTTTCTTTTACAGAAAGTAAGTCAAGATTTATTTTTTTCAAAAAAAAGGCAAAATTTATTACGTATTTAAACTTTGTACCGCAAAAATAAAATGTAAAATTGACTTCTGAATGTGGAAATGATAATCTATTTTAGTGCTATTTATGTTAATCTCCTGAATGCAGTCCTAAGAGGGCCCATATATATACTGGACTGGACTCCTTTCCCAACTATCTTGCTTTGTGGAAAGGGTTAATTAGGCCAAATACCCTCCAAAACTAACAAATTAGAATAATACTCTAAAACTAATTATAATCTTTAACCCCCGTAATTAATACGCTCCAGAAGCTCCAAATCATCATCCCCAACACTAGCCAGTAGCCACGAAACCCTCCACCGTGAAACCCTCCACCGTGAAATCATCGAGCTCCGCTACCTCTTTCTTTATGATTAATTTAATACAAAATCGTCTTCTTCTCAGGAACGAGCACCAGGGTTTCTCTACACCAGAGCAAGAGGAAGATGCACACCCCAGTAACTCTCTATCTATGTCTATATCTTTCTTACAATTTCGATTTAACTCAACAACTAACAAATTTGATTTCATGGTAGGTACTGGAGCAGCAGGACAGAGTCATGGCCGAAGATGGTGCCTCAGATGTCGACGATGTCCAAAGTGTTCGGTTCGCAGGTGTTCGAACAATACATATACGATCTGACACTGCTGGAGGCTGTGGGGAGGAGGTTTAATTCAAGAGGGTATGAGAAGTTTAGGAACTTGGCAAAAATTTCTAAGTTGAAAAGAAGAGAAAAAAGCTTGAAGTGGATAGTGATAATGGTGATAAGAGGGAGAAAAAGAGGGGTTGGCAGCAATGAGATGGGACTCCTGGAGGTGGTTACAGAGGAAGAAGACAATGGAGGGGATGATTTCAGTAGTTTGTTAGCGGAGGAATTTAAGGCGAAAAATGGAACGCCTGACCAGGTTGCTACTTTTGGACGGGCGGTACGCGAATGAAGGGACTAGGGAATTGCCTGAGAGTATCAAGGTTTTTGCTTTGCAACAGTTTGATCTTTGTGAGTTGCTTTTCTTGTGACGTTTTTGTATTGATAAGTGCGAACATGTTTTTTGTTTTTTGGTTGTTTTAATTTTTATTGTTGTTAGTGAACATTTTATGGTGATTATCCTATTAGATAATGCTTGTTATTTATTTTTCTTTGTCTATGAAGGTGGTCTGTACCATTAAATTGCCAGAAATTTTGATACAGGATACTGAACTATTAGACATGAAAATTAGAATGTTTGGCATTGAGCAAAATAAAGATATTCATGGATTAAGGATTTGTTGACATTGGATTGCTTACGTTCATCCATCAATTGAATGAGACTTTTGCTGCTGGACATTTTAGAGTTCTATTGCTGTTGCGTTTTTCTCTATCTTTCCAAATGAGAAGTTTATTTTGTGAAAATCTATATATAATTTTCTCTAATGTTTTTGGTATGAAACATGTAGGATGTGATAATTTAAAAACCAACATTTTCACTCCAATACTCATCAATTTTGTCATGGACAGTTAGCCCATCATGTGTAACTTTTTTTGCCACTTTTTTTTCCGTTATCCTTGGTGATTGTCACTTTTTTTTTTTTTTTTTTTTTGTTACTTTTTTTTTTTTTTTTTTTTTTTTTTTTTTTTGTTTTTTTTTTTTTTGATTGTGACAGGATTATTTCATGATTTGATAAACTCCAATTTCGATATATTTAGGTCTCCAAGCTATCGATTTAGGAGCAAGTAAGTCTAAAGGGACTGTATTGTACGATAACGTCGATAAGAACACGTCGTGCACAGACCACTTGTGATTGTGGTATTTTTGTACACTATTTTTAGAAATAAAGAACGGGATTTTTTTTTTTGTAAGAAACAAGAATATGAGAAATGTCTTGCCTTTTCTTTTTGTTCTTTTCATTCTTCTTATCATCTTTAAGATCAATTTTGTGCAAGTGACGAGACAATTTAACATAAGTAGACTGTTTTTGTCCAAGTAAACGTGTGTGAACCAAAATTGATAGTTTGGAGATCTAAAAGCCAAGAATTTTTTTATCGGAGAGCCTGATGCTACAAGTTACTATGTTTGGGGACCATTGCTGCAAATTTCCTTGATCAGTGAAGACACTGTCGTTCAATTTTAGAACATGAAGTTTTTCCTTTTTTTTTTTTTTTTAGTTCGTCCCTTACACCCTCGAAGGCTCGATTCCAAATCAATGACCTGATAAAATTTTGTCTTAATCACTTGAGCTGGGTCTTGACCTCACAATATGATTTAACAAATTGGTGAACCGAACTTCTGAAATGAAACCTAACTTTAAGATATGAAATATGAAGATGTGGTTGAAATTAATGTTAGATCTTGATCGAATAAAATAAGTAAATTATAAATAGTTTTTACTTTTACACGAACGGAGGCAATTTTGATCACTCAAATCGTGGAGTTAACGAATATCACAACTCAGCAAGACCATTATTGGCTTCTTACTTAATTTTTATGACATGCTTTGATTATTTACATCGTTCATTTTCCTAATCTTCGAGTTGTCGATACTTGAAAAATGTATTTAGCTCGAGAACACACTAAATAATTTTTTATTAACCACTAGGTTTGAAAATTGACTATCGATGTAGGAATTAATTTAAGTGTACAATATTCTTTGACAACAATGATTGACAGTCATGTATTGTCAAAATCCTAGTATGTGATGTAGAAAATAGTTTTTTAAAATGGATGGATATGATGATGTCAACCAATGTTATCGATCAGTATAGTACATATAGCATGATTCTTCGATGTAGTGTGACAAACACCAACTCTACGATGTGAAATGGTCTTAGTTCAAGATTGAATAATTTCAGCACAATATGAACTTGGAGTTGAGTAAGGGAAAATAAAATTGAATATGTCTATCTATTTCAAAGTATTTCTTTTTTCTTTTACGGAAAGTCAAGATTTATTTTTTCAAAAAAAAAGGCAAAATTTATTACGTATTTAAACTTTGTACCGCAAAAATAAAATGTAAAATTGACTTTTGATTGTGGAAATGATAATCAATTTTAGTGCTATTTATGTTAATCTCCTGAATGCAGTCCTAAGAGGCCCATATATATACTGGACTGGACTCCTTTCCCAACTATCTTGCTTTGTGGAAAAACCATATGATCATTTGAGGGTATTTATTTTTTCCAAAAAAATGTTATTTATTTATATTATAATTAAGATACATTTTTATAATTTGAAAGTCCCTCAAAATTTTTGAAAAGAAAGCACGTTAATTTTCATTAATTTTCTTTGTGGCCCTAATATTTATTTAATGGATTTTTTTGAAGTTTTTACGAGGGTCTAAAAAACGAAAAGAAATTTATAAAATCTCTTCTAGATTTGCGTCGATTTTATACTCATTTTTATATAAAGTTGTCGAAAATTGTTCTTTACAAAAATACATTGTAATTCCATTGGCAGAGGGCAAATAGCAATGTCTTGTTGAAGGTCGTAGGGCAACAAAGAAGAAGTTTTGTATTAGCATCGCGTGCACATAATAAACATCAGTTGATCTCATATATAACATGAATATTTTGTTGTTATGAAAAGTGGAATACTCTAATACCAATTTATTGTGAGAAAATAAGAGATTAAGCCACAATATGAAGGAAAGATCACAAGAACAATATAATTTTGTAGAGAATTGAAACCTTATTATAGTGTGGAGAGAGAATATAAATATTATGTGCTTATGATTTATCTAACTTCATCTAAAATACAATGGTTAGCTAAATATATATAGAGAACGAATAGCGAAATAGATGGGAGGCACTGTTGTGCCGGGCCAAAATTGTCTAGCTTTCGGATTTTTTACTCCAAAAATCTTTATTTTTTTAATCCCAATGTCTTCTTCAAATACAACACAAATTCCTACTCCCATGAACTTTCAAATAAAATTTCAATTAGAATTTGTCAAGTAAAACTTAAATAGAATTCAAAAATTGCATTTCAAATAGAATTCTTCTAAATGTGCACTTTAACAAAGAATTCGAGGTTACACCCTAATTCTAACAATCTCCACAGTGACATGATTTAACTACAATGAACACAACTTCAAAAGAATTCTCCATCTGAAGACAAATTCCACTGTAAGGAATAAATTTAATATCTTCAATGAAAAACACAAACAAACTTATTCATCAAGAATTCCATCTGGAAATATTCTCCACATCTGTTGCCCCAACTAGGGGCAAAAGTGATCCAATGACCACCAAATAAGGTTGAAACACACTTTATAGCAGAATCCACTGAATATAACAAAAGAATGATCTTACCTAGAATCAACACCCTTAATCGCATTCAAACTACAACAAAATCAGCAGAATTGTATCTATGTGAAATCTTATGACAAAAAATGTGTCTATTTCTAACAATTGAATACGATGACACCGTCAATAATGGTGGCAAGACATATTTATCCATATCTTCAAAATTCGGTTGAGATGTATTCTTAAACGAAGACCCCAAATTAGATTCTAACGGTACAGAAGACAACTTTAAATCTACCAGAATTTTTAAAATATGCTGATTACTTGAAGATTCTGTATCACCCTTCAAGATATATAAATGATATTTTTCATATCCCATCAACACATCACGAGCTCATTTGATAGCTTTCAGAACTCCATCTTCAACGGTGTACTTGTACCATTTTGAATCATGATTACTTAAGGAGATAATGTTTTTCTTAACATCAATATTCTTATTGCATCAAGTGTTCTAATCGTCCAATACCATATATTCAACAAGGTGTGTTATTACCGGTCATCACAACACTTTTTGAAACTTCTTCATATGTTGAAAATAATTCTCGATTAGGTGACATGTGAGAAATGCAGATGTATCCAAAATTCAAGCCTCATTAGGATTGGAGCTGTAGTCACAAGTAAGTATAAGCTCTCCATCACTACTAGTATTTTCTGCAATACTTACTTTTCCTGAAGTTTTTGATTGTTGCAGTTGACTTTGATTTATTCTATAACTTACAACAATCGTTTACCAAGTGCCAATTTTTCTTGCAATAATTACAAAATTTGAAGTTAGATTTTGACTTGTCACTCGAACGACTATCATGAACAATGAGACCATCTCCATGATTCTCGGATGCTATAAGATGCTTTATCTTTATCTTTTCATTTTTTTTAAATATAGGGCATCGTAGACTTCTTCAATGGTGAAAGTATCACGACTATATACGATAATGTCTCTAAAAAACATGTATGAGGCAGGCAATGAACACAACAAAATCAATATCAATTATTCTTCATCATATTTCACCTCCAAGGTCTTCAAATTGATGACGATTTTTTAAAAAGTAGTTAAGTGATCCTCAAGAAAAATACCTTCTATCATACAACAAGAATATTGATGTTGCTTTAGATGCAATTTGCTAATAAGACTATTCGTCATGCATAATTGCTCCAATTTCAATCATAAAGTAGTGGTTGACTTCTCCTTCAAAATGTCCCGAAGAATATTATGGGAAAAATGAAGATATATTTGAGACAAGACATTTCGATCACTTCGTTGTTTCTCCTTCATAGTCCAAGTTGTTTTGGCATATTGTGAATCCCAACAATGCGTCGTCCAAATCCATATGAGCGAATACTGCTCGCATCTTTACCTGCCATAAAGAGAATCTCGTATTGCAATCTAATAGCATAGTATCATATTTCATTGTTGCCATCATAAAAAATCCCGATCTTCCCAAGAATTTCAACACCAAAAACTCTGATATCACTTGTCTTGAAAACTAGAATGCTTTAATATCAGTTTGTTGCGAGAAAATAAGAAATTAAACCACAATATGAAGCAATGATCATAAGAATAATGTAATTTTGCAAAGAATTGAGATTTTATTATAATATGGAGAGAATACAAAAATTATGTGTTTATAATTTGTCCAACTTCATCTAAAATATAATTAA